CCTATACATTGAGGTTGGTGATATGACTTGAGTGGCTGGTGGGGTGTTAGTGGGTGTGATGTGAGCAGAGGCTTTAGCTACGTTTATGTCCTGGGCTTGTCCTCTTGTGCTTCTGCCATGATAACGAAAAAAACACACTCTGAGTCCCATACTGAAATATGTGAAGCAGAGATGCCCCAGCCAAACTGGTCTCTACAGACTGAAGCAGCTGACCAGGCCAACTAGCAAACACTTATGAGAGAAATAAATGCTTATTGTAATATGCCACTGATTTGTGGTTTTTGGTTACACACCAAAAATGGACTGTTACATGGAGTAACAGTAAATGGTAGGCCAAGTTCTACCATTTACTAGTTGAGCGAGAATACCTGTATTTGAAAAGGAGAGGTTTGCATTCCTTGAACTCCAACTTACTTAACAAAACAAGATTTTTTAAAAATCCTCAACCCAGGATATTTTTTTCCTTTGCTTTAGAGAGAGTGGAAGGGAGAGAGAGAGAGAAACATCAATCAGATTTGTTTGGTTGCCTCCTGCGGGTGCCCCGGGGCAGGGATGGAGCCTGCAGCTGAGGCCAGTGCCCTTGGCTGGGATCAAACCCACCGTCCTTCAGTCTGAGGGCCGATGCTCTAACCACTCAGCAAACAGGCTGGGGATACTTAACAAGATTTAAAACTCATGATTCTTATGTTTTCCACGCTTTCCACAGTCTATTTCCAGAACACAGATTAAAATATAATCATTATGAAATGAAAGCTAGAGATGGATGGAAAGAAAAGAAATTCTAGAATCCCTGTAATTAATTTTATTTTTCCAAAGCTGGAAGGATGGGATTTGTTTAGGTGGCATTCAGTAAAGAACTCCAAAGGTTGGCTGAAGGGAAGAAGTATGTCAGGAGAGGCTTCCGTGCCGGTTGCAGGTTGCAGGTTGCGGAGTGCCAGAGGGTAGCATGCTCCTTCCCACTAAGTCAGCCGTCAGCAGCTGTAAAAAAGAAGGATCGCTTTCCCTTCGGGACAGCATGGGCTGGCTTATGCTGAGCAAAGGAAACCAGTCAGAGAAAGACAAGCACCACATGATCTCACTCACATGTGGAATGTAATGAACAAAATAATGAACCAAACAGATCCAGAGATGTAGAAGCATGGAGCAGACTGAAGGATCTCAAGGGAAGGTGGGGGTAGGTGAGTGGATGGGGAGAGATTAATCAGAACTTATATGTTCATAAGCATAACCCACGGACACAGACATTGGTATGGGGAAGGCCTGGGGGTGGGGTGGATGTGGGGTGGGGGGGATCAATGGGAGTGAGGAGAAGGGGACATTTGTAATACTTTCAAAAATAAAGATAATTTAAAAAAAAAAGAATCACACGCAAGCTCTACTCACTAGTTTTAGTGCCTTGCGTAAAATACTATTCAATGTATAATGGAGAAAAAGAAAAAGATTGAGTAAAAAATGGAAACTAGAGAGTTCTGAAATGGAAACTTTACTTTTACTCCTTGCTTTCCCTTGAGCACTTGTGTTCTGGGCTTCAGCCATCATAATGAACATGACAAACTCTGGTAGCACTGTCCCACTCATAATGAAAACATCTTCATATAGGGGATTCCTGCTTTGCATGAGATGCTGGCTGTGGCACATATAAGGTCCTACCCAACCCTAACATATCATGACATCATATGATGAGATTGAGCTTATTTGAAACTCTTGTAAGAACCTCAGTAACCCTTCTGTTAATGGCAGACACTTTAAACGCTCTAATATCCTTTAACTTACCCTCCTAAAAAAAGCAAAAAAAAAAAGCAGAAGTCTCTTTAAATATCTGTTGTACTATTTTTAGACATTTATTTAAAAATTTCCTTTGACCACAGATTTCCTCTAGTTATTCAATTGCTGTTTGCATGTATGTCAAGGAATCATTTCCACAAGGACAATATATTTCTAAAATCTAATTGGCTGATTGGCAAAATTAATACATTTACTTGTAATAAAATTATTTTCGAGGAGGACACTAATATATAAGTAAAAATCTGTCATTTAGGTAATGTTTTTAAGGAAGGAAATGTTCTTATGCAACATGATTGAAATGCTCTGGGGAGTTCTAAGATCATTTTTTCATTAAATAGAGCTGAAATTATGCGAACAACTAGAACATGAGAAATAAAAGAGGAAAACAAAGTATAGAACACTGGGGAATGAGAAAATAGACTGTAAAAGGAGCAGTGATCTGTTCAAGGTTATCCAGTGAGCCAGGAACAAGGGGGAGAGTTGGGCTGGTGCTGAGACCCAAAGCATATTTGCATTAATGTCTGTGTCTTAAATCTGCCATTTTTAGTAGATAATGTATTTGTGTTTCTCTGATATGGGGGAAGATATTCCTATTTACCATTCTCTTGGGGTCTAGCATGTGTTACTTCATAAGTGTTTATCAAATGAAATGAAAAATAAATAAATCCCTGGCAACTCAAAGTTAACAAAGCATCATTTCACATACATAATCTCATTATTCTCACAACCAACCACCTCTGAAGTATAATTCCTGTTTTACACATTAATTTAGGTCCAGAAAGATTACTGAATTACCCAAGAACACACTGCAACACATAGTGTGATGCTCAGCAAAACTCTATAAAGATTCTAACTCTTAAGAAGGCTCAACGAGGGCTGCATTAAACATAATACAGGGGTAGGCAGGGGGAAAAAGCCCTTCAAAGAACTCAGAGTCAGATACAAAGTTGATATTTAGGAGAAGGGGAGCAGTTTGATTACCTTATTTTATGTGGTTGATCTCCTTAGCTAATTAGTTGGGATATCAATTGGGCATGTCTGTACAAAATCCTTAGTTTCCATTGATAAATTATTTGTGCAGGAGGGCATCTGGCAGTGAAGCCACCAAAACCTTAATAGAAGGCTTTGACATACTATAGACCTACCACAAGAAAGCAGCCCTACTTAGAAAACCAAGTTTCTGTGCTCCATGACTACTTCTTCAAGGCCCTGCTCATTTGCTTTGCCAATGGATATAGTAAAGAGATTGACTATAGTAAAGGTATTGGATTCCTTAATTTACACATGGGTGTCTGTCCCAAGGGTACTGAAGCCTCTGTGGCAAGTGGTCTTTCACCCAAAGTTACATGTAGCAAAGGAGTAAGAAAGCAGAATTTATTCCCAATTTGAACGACAAAAAACAAGAGCGGGTAGGAGGAAAGGAGCATTGCCAGCATTAAGTAATATCTCAAAAGCAACAACTAGGCTATCTAGGTCGTTCTTGGCTCTGCCTCTTACTGTGCAACCTTGAGAAAGTTACTTAAATTCTTTATGACTCAGTTTGTTCATCTATAAAATGGAGAAATTAATAGTACCTCTATCATAGGGTTATTACTAGGATTAAATGAGTTAATATTTGTGCTTAAAACAATGTCAGGTATACAGAAAACTCAATATAAATGTTTAATAAATAAAAGAAGGTAGAAAGAGTGAGAGACAGACTACTGAATACACTGTGTCCTTAATGCATTGTTTTGCTTCCTTCGGACAGAGTCCTTTACTTTCCACAGCTGGGCCACTTGATTCTTACCAGTAAGCTTAACCCCATGTCCGGTCTGCCGCGGAACAACTCATTCAGGGAGATTTAAGAAGCCCTAGTTCAGTAGTTCAGGTGACTCAGCATTAAGTCAAGTTTGCTGTTATTCTTGTCCTGACCCTGTGTCCCAGTTTTAGTCATTTGTTCCTGTAATCAAGTCCCCACTGTGTACTCCAGTTCTAGAATTCTGCTCCCCTGTGGCTGAGTCCTGGCTAGCAAGGCCTGCTCAGCTCCTCCAGTTCCTTCAAGGCAGACAGCTCCTGAAGGGCAGCCTCTGCACTAGAAACTGCACTTTGTTTGGCACACTGTATTTAAGAATTGCAGACTTTTATACAAAAATTCAAAGTTCCAGCTTCTATTGAAACACTGCATGGTCTGACAACACTTGCCCCCCTCCACCGGGACCAACCTACTTGGAAGGCCATGTGCTCTCCTTGCCCCACTGCTCCATTAGTGTGGGTCTGGATCTGGATCTGGATCTGTTTGCTTGGCCTTTGCGGGCATGTGAAGTTGAGTTCTAAGACTGAGACTAGCTGGTGTTTACCAAGCACTTACTTTGTGCCAGGTATTCTTCTAAGTGTGTCACATGCTTTACTTATTTAACCAAAGTTCATACATCTGTTTGTCCTTCTATCCATTATCCTTGAAGCCCTTCTCCTTGCTTCAAACTTTCTGTTTGCATGGATCTGTACTTGTTCCCTCTTCCCAAATCACTATTCTCTACCTACCAGCTAAGCGTCACTCACAAAGCTTTGTTGAACCTCCATAACGTCAACCACTCCCATGTATTATGGCCTGTTGCCTCTCCAACCTCCCTTGCCCAGCCAGACTTGGTTGTCAAGAATTTTGGCCATAATAGTGGTTATATTTCAGGTACAGAATCCCAGGCTCTACTGATTTGACTGATCCTATTATCTGATATTCCATGCTTTTATAAAACCATACATTTTATTATATATAGACAGCCGTCACTCTCACAAAACTTTTGTCTCAGTTCTTGTTAGAAGCCCAGCAAAAACCACCAAATATTTATTGACACTTATGTTCTAGGCTCGGTAACAGAAACAGATTTTGAGTATTCGTTTACTAAGAGATCCAAAAACATTTGTTCATCTCTTCTATAAGCAACTCAATCTCTTTTCAGTGAACCATCTTAGGAAACTAACATTATTTTAACACAATCAGCTATGTTTTTTCTCATGACAGGCCCTGTGCTTTACAAAACAATGAATGAAAGAGAAAAATATTTGTATGACTAAGCTGAGATTTAGCAAATGTCAAAGAAAACTCACAAAACTCATTCTACACACCATTCCATAAAATTATCTGGATTGGATAAAACTGAATATGCATTAAAATCCAAATTGAGCTCATTAAGTTCTACAATAGTTTTTAAAGTCTTAATAAAAATGCTACTTACATAGGGAATCGTGTCCAAAGTATCTGTGTTGACAATTATAGGAGCAGGACTGGCCTGAAAAAGAGAAGTAGAAAGATTTTAAGTAAAAAGTAAGCTATTCTGAGGATCTGTAATTGATTTAACAAAGAACTCAGCAGCAGTTCTTGAAGACTCTTCCAGGTACTGTGTCAGGTGCTGGGAGGAAAAATGAAATGGCTCCAAGTTTCTAACACCCTCCAAAAATTTGTTTGCTACATTTACCACATAACGAAATGAAGTAAGCAATAGAACTTATACTCATTTCCTCTTAAATTTTATCTGGCAATGTAACAGATGAGGATTGGTGATGCTTATGAGGCAAAGATTTCTAATAAATTGGGTGAGAGTTAAAGTGGGTAACATTTCTTTTTTAAATGGCTGTGCTAAGTAAATTTGATTTCCCACTCTAAGAAGCAAAATTAAACCTAAACCAATATTTACAACCCTTCTCTTTAAACTGCCTTTTCAAAGTATGTTGTATTCAATGTAAAATAGTAGGGTTCACTTAGTGATATACATGTTTACCTATTATGCATGCTGTCATCATATATTTTCTTTGTTATTTATACATCTCTGATCATATACCTTAAAAATCTTTAGATAGAAAATTAAAACAGTCAAAGATGACAGAAAATCTTATTGAATATGCTAAACTTTTTTTTTTAATTGTACAAACTGCAGTCATTTGCCTTAAAGTTGAGTAGGAATCTGTGTAAAACATGATATAGGAGGGCTACAAGCCGAGTCATTAAAAAATAGGAGATTTCAATCTGTATTTGCATCAACCAATCTGACTTCATGAATATGGAGTAGACTTATCTTTATTTTCTAGTTTCTAGAATTTCCACAGCCATTTTCCCTTCACCCTGAAAGGAATCTCTTTCCCAAATTGCAGATTTCATTTAGATAGAGGGAATACCTTCATCATGATTAATTGAGAGCTGTTCTATACAACACAGTGGTTTTGGCAAGTACTCAACTTTTAGGACATTTCATTAGATGTGCCCTCTGGAATTAACAGAGTTAACAGCTTTTTAATGTCAATCTGTACCTATGGAATCCTAATCAAATGATAAGACAAATGGCAATCCAGCAGGTTTCACAAAACAAAATTCCATGTTTTAATTAAAAACACCGGGCATTGAGAATATGACCCTGGTCTACAAGTCTATATATTGAGTCAACTAGATGTTCCTGGTTTGTTAACTCCTATTAGCAAGAACCTTGTGGGTAAATGGGGGACTTGGAGATAGTTTCCACAGGGCTCGACAAAAAAACGGTGCTTTTCAAGAGGCATGTGGTGTGGGGAGAAGAGCAAAGGATTTAGAATTAGAAGAACTGGGTTCAAGTTTGTTTTATCAACTTCCTAATTATGTGATTTGAGGGCTCAGAAATTTCCTTGTGGTGTGATCTGGGGAAAGTCCCTTAACCCCTTTTGCCTCATTTTTCCTCTCTGTAGAATGGAAATAGAAATAATCACCTTCTGAAAAGTTTGTTTCAAGAATAAGTGAAGTGATATATTTGAATGTGTTTGTAAACTTAAATTTCAGAATCACTGTTAAATATTATTATTAGTAAGTTTCCCTAAAGTTGGACAACTGTGAGGATATATCATTGGATGGTTTGTGAACTGTTTATACCCCAGAGAGAGATCTCAATGCTCTGTTAGTGACTATAACTGCACGAAAGAGGATCGATTAGATCTTGCAAATTACCATTTATTAAATACACATTGCTTGCCCATGTATATGGATATGNTTGGACAACTGTGAGGATATATCATTGGATGGTTTGTGAACTGTTTATACCCCAGAGAGAGATCTCAATGCTCTGTTAGTGACTATAACTGCACTAAAGAGGATCGATTAGATCTTGCAAATTACCATTTATTAAATACACATTGCTCGCCCATGTATATGGATATGCATATATATATATATTTTTTTAATATATCTTTATTGATTTCAGAGAGAGGAAAGAAGAGAGAGAGATAGAAACATCAATGATGAGAAAGTCATTGATCAGCTGCCTCCTGCACGCCCCCGACTGGGGATCGAGCCCGCAACCCGGGCATGTGCCCTGACCGGGAACCTAACGGCGATCTCCTGGATTCTAGGTCGACGCTCAACCGCTGAGCCACGCCCGGCCGGGCTACATTCTTATTTACAGCAGCAAAGCAACAGACTGCAGCTAGGAACACCAGCTAAGCCAGCCAAATGCTAGACTGAGCTAAGCTTTCATATGGCACAGGATCTCTGGACACTGACTATTTCTGGCCCCACTTTCCACGGCAAAATAGACAGAGATGGGACATTGGGGAACTTTTAAAATTTCACTTCCCAAATGAACCTTGCTACAAGATCTTATTTTCTCTTGTGGGTCCCTGGAAATGCTTTTCTTCATGACACCTCAAGAACCCCACATTCATCAGCAACAGTATGATCAATAAATATGTATTGATTTGTTTTAGGGCTGTCAACCAATCTTACTTTTGCTTTTCGTTTTATAGATTGTATTAATTTGTCTTGGAATAAATTTTATATGCAAGCCCATTTCCCATACAGTGACATTCATCACTTTTGTATGTTCATGCTTTTATTTTCCATTTTATGTATGTAAATCTGTTCTTTCCAATCAGGCTGTATGTTTAGAAAATAACAAGGATTGTATGCTTCCCTAGAATTCTTCACAGCACGTGGGTACACAGAAGGAACTCAGTATTTAGGGATTATCGGATAAATGTATCTATAAAGTATAGATGAGGGTACGGAAGAATGTAATATCTCTTTGTAAGCTTAGAGAACATTTCTAAGAAAACCCCAAAATTTCTGGTTACCAATAACACTAAGACTAGAACTACTTTTCCAATATCCACTATCTTACTTCTTTAACCAGTCATTATTACTTAACTATCAAGCTTTTATAAAATAATAATAATCTCATAACCCCAGGATGTGGACTCTGTGAATCTTGAAGCACAATCTATGTTATGTGGAAAGCTCTTTGCTCCTTCTCAATAATAACAAGTTCTAGAAGCCACAATTAATACTACATCTATAAAAGTCACTAAAAATGCATGAACATACAGGATGTGTAAATTGTATGAATTCATGTACATTACATACATGTGACATTGGCAGCTCCTGGTGCGTGCGACAAGGAGATGCCATGGTGGGCTATTCTGAATAACACACTATCTCACCGAGCCGCTAAGCCAGGCTCTCTGAAGACCCCCCATTGCTCTGCTCCAGGACCCTCACTGTTCTCCTCAGGCCATTTTCACAGGAGGTTCCTGGAATCTTTTAGGTAGTCCATGGCACATATCAGCACAGAATAAAAATCGAGTGGTAATAACACAGAGCGCAGTAGAATTCCAAGTATGGCCCAGGAGTGTGCTCTTCCCATCAGTTTGTAATTTCAGATCTTCCCTTGGCTTAGCCTGACTGCTGTTTCTTGTCTCACTTTTGAAATCTTGTGAGTCCATGCCTAGTTTGATGTAGTTTAGTTTCTGTATCTTAAAACCAATTCCCCCGTTACTTTGATGGTTCTACTTAAGCTGTATCTCTACACTTCACCTTGACCTACCATCCCCACACCTTCTCTCCATATTAGATATCCTCTTTAATTGAACCCCTAAATCAAACTGCTAACTTAGCAAATTCCAGCATCCCCCTTCAATGTGCTTATTTCCGTTAACTGGAAAAAGATTTGCAACAAATATGAAAAAAAAATCCTTTCTAATCAGAAGTTTTAAGGCTTGACTTTATGTAAATCTAGGCAAACTAAGACTTGAGACTTAAGAAAATTAATCTAACTTTGGTTACCCAAACTGTAAGAAGTGGTTTGTCTTATATTTTACATTTTTTTTCATTTGGAAAAAGTCAGTTTACAGCAAGAGGGAAAAATAGAGGTAATCACAGAGAAGCAAGAAGCAAGCACAGAGACTACTAATAAAATTTAAATTATGAGATCAAGTTATTCATGAATTCTACCACCTTCCTGTCCTTGGATTTCATGAGATAGACAAATATTTTTATATTACATCAATAACTTTGCTTACGCTAAGAAAAGAGCAAACTTCCGTTGCTTGCTACCAAGAGAATGTAACTAATAAAGACTGACATAATGAATGCAAATTTTCAAAGAGTTTATTGATTCTGACTGATGTAGTTACTTCTTGATATTTGTTAAGTGCCAGATCTGGGAAATGCCTCTGACATAAATGGCCAAGTAGTCACCAGGCCAGCTACAGTGAGGAAGCATCTTCCAGCAAGGTACTGCTAGGGGAGATGCAGTCCATCTAAGGACACACTCTGGGAAGCTTGGGTCTAACAGTTGGTAAGCTAGGTAGTAGAAATGTCAAAAGACTAAACCCAGGTCGATGACTAACCTTTTAAGAAGCAAAACAGAAGAGGAGAGAAGCCCACATAGTGAAGTGACTTAGATACAGCAAGGACTGAACAATAATACTAGTAACACTGATGGTGCTAGGGAGTGAGCAGGAATTTCAGCTGACCTGGAACATGCAAGTAGAAGGCAAGTGACTGTCAAGGCCAAGTTAAAAAGGAGGTGAAATATGGCAAGAAGAAAATGGAGAGGCTTTTGGGGATGAGCGTCTTCAGCTTATCCTCTCAGCCTTAAAGGACAGTCTCCTCAGTGGGCAGGAAGTGACACAGGCCCTATTCATGACTTTTGTTTATGGTATGGCATGACAACTTGAAACAAAATGGAACCCACTGGAAGTTTTAAAATGAGTCCATTTTGTATATGATTTCACTAAGAGAATTGAGATCCCAGAACCTCATGGTAAATCTTAGATAACTTAGATGAACAGCTATGAGATACCACATTAGCAGTATTTTAGCTTCACAATCACACAGCAGGCTGCCATCAGAATGAGCCTCCCTCAGATAATGCCCTGATCCTAACTAGGAAAAATAAAACTTTGGGGTTACTACCCACATTCTCAATTAGATCTGAAATGAGATATTTAATGCTAAGTACTAAATGGTATGCTAAAGACTGAACTCAGAATA